GTCCTGTTAAACTTTTGTCACTTCTACTGGGGTGAGGTGCTATCTCATGGTGGTTTTGATTTTCGTCTCTCTCGCTGCCAGTGGTTTTGAGCATCTCCTCAAGCGTCTGCTGGCCATCCGAATGTCATCGTCTGTGAAAAGTCTTTCCATGTCTTTTGCCCATTTTGTAATTGGGTCCACAACCTTTCTCTTGTAGACACTCTGTTGTTGTTGTCGTTATGTGTCGTTGAGTCGCCTGGGACTCACAGCGACCCTATGTACAACAGCCCTAAACCCTGCTTTGTCCTGTGCCAATCTCACTGTCTCTGACACACCCCCATCACCCCAGTCACTGACTCAATCCATCTCATCGAGGGTCTTCCTCTCCTATGCTGTCCCTCCACCCTCCCAAGCATGACGTCCCTCTCCAAGGACTGGTCTCTCCTTGCAACATGTCCAAAGTATGTCAGACGAAGCCTCAGAATCCTTGCCTCCAAGGAGTAGCTTGGTTTAATCCTCTCCACAATGAATCTGTTTTCTTGGCAGTCCATGGTATAGTCAATACTCTTCTCCAGCACCACAGCTCAAAGGCATCAATTCTCTTTCTATTCTCCCTAGTTACTGTCCAGCTCTCTGATGCATAACAAGTGATTGCAAAGACCATGGCCTGTAGCAGGCGCACCTTAGTCTCCAGACTGACATCGTTGCTCTTCAGTACTTTGGAGAGGTCCCTAACAGCAGACTTTCCCATCGCAATATGTCTTTTAATTTCCTGGCTGCTGGTACCCAAGAGTGTTGACTGTGGAGCCAAACAAACTAAAGCTGTGAACAATCTAAATCTCTTCACCATCCATCATGATGCCGCCAATCGGCCAGTGGTGAGAATCTTTGTTTTCTTGATATGAGCCTCAGTCCATATTGAAGGTTGCAGTCCCTGACCTTCTGCAGCAAGCGCTTCAAGGTCCTCCTCAGTTTCAGCAAGCAGTAAGATTCTGTAAACTTTCCCCTTGTCTGAGATGGCAGTGCCATGCCTCCCCGGGCCAGTCAGCAGGTTTTCTTTCACTCTATTGAAGAAGGCTTTGAAGCACACGGGACTTCATCTCTGCGAGGACCCCTTCATCGATGTCCTCTGCTGGATGTGCATCCGCCTAACTCTGAAGATGCTCTCTGAATCCGAGTGGGTGGGATACACTCAAGGTCATGTGTAGCTTCCAGCAAACTCGTTTCCAGTTTCTTCAGCTTCACCTTGATATTCCATCTGAGCAAGTCCACAGTCAGCACATGGCCTTGTTCTGACTTAAATAATGAGTGTTTTCCATCATCTCTTCACAGAGGTGCTCAGTCAGATTCCTGTTGCCCAACTGGGCTTTGTTCTTGGTGGGTTGTTCACCCTGGCAAGCCTTTCCCAAAGGACTGGGCAGGAAGACTGTGCTGGCAACGTGGGTGAGATAAACAGCACTTTTGGGGTTGTTGTTGTTGTTGGGAGGTGCCATCAAGCTGAGTACGGGCCACGGCGACCCTGCGGACAGGAGGCCTGAGCCCCCTCCTGTGTGCGTCACCCTCACACCTCCTGACTCACTAGAGCCCACGAGGCAGTCATGGCATTGACCCTTTCGGGTGGGAACGTGCAAACACAATGCAGACGACCAACGGGGGGGGGGGCGGGCGGTCAGTTTTTCCATCAGGTTCAAACTGAGAGACAGAAAATGAGAATCTCAGAGAGATGCAAATCAAAACAACCATGAGATACCGTCTCACCCCAGCAACAACAGCAAAGTTCAACAGGGCAGCAAACTGCAAATGCTGGCGAGGTTGTGGAGAGACTGGAACCCTTATTCACTGCTGGTGGGAGTGTAACATCGTGCAACCACTCTGGAAGGCTGTATTGCGCTTTCTCAAAAAGTCAGAAATAAAAATATCATTTGACGCAGCAATTTCACAACTGAGAATACACCCTAAACAATCTAGAGCCATGAGTCAAACAGATGAATGCACATCATGTTAGCAGAGATGGAGGAAGCCCAAGTGTCCACTGACAGACGAATGCGTAGGAAAAGGGTGGGACATTCACACAACGCAAGATTACACAGCACTGAAAAACAATGAACTCGTCAAACTCTCCACAACACAAGGGAGCCGGGAAGACAGTATTCTCAGTGAAATATCTCAGTCACAAAAGGACAAATGCTGCCTAAGACTGCTGTTATAATATAGGATTAACACAAGGTGGGGAGGGCAGGAAACAGGAAAAGAGTGGACAGGTCACAAACCTGCCCTGAAATCGAGGCGGTGGAGGGCAGACTGAACGGGTTGCATGAATCTGGAAGAAGATGAGCGTTACAAAGCGAATTGGTGGAGGAAAATGTGCATCTGTGAAGGAGTGAAAGGCCAACCTTCTCATAAACTTTCATGAAAATCATAACTTTTTTAAAAAAGAAGAGGGAGAATGCCATGTATCTTTTTGGGTCAGAGGTTCCTGTACAAGACGGGCCGAGACCAGGTGATGGGGACAAAGGTGGGAGGCTGCAGGGAGCCGGAGGACCTTCGCAAAGCTGTGAAGACGGCTGGGGGGCGGCCGTGTGACACTGGCCCAAAGTCCAGCGGCTGAAGGCCAAAGGGCAGAGAGCCTCCCTGACTGCTCTGCCCTGAGCCACCGCTGGCGACACCCCCGAGTTCTCTCTGTGAGTTCTGTGTTGCCATCACGACATAGTGACCTCGCAGCAGCAGCACTGGCCGTGGAGGAGCAGTGGGGTGGGATGGGTAGAGGAGGTGAGGGATCGAGGCCTGAGGGCACCGTGGGAGCAGCCCCTGCCGCTGTCCACTCTCGGGCGGGCTCAGCGGAGGCCAGGCAGCACAGCTCACATCAGCCAGCGTCCTCACACAGGAATAACAACTACAAAGTGCAAACTCTTGCTACATTTTCATTTCAGAGAAACTACACAAGAGGCCAGAATCTGCCTCCCTGGACTACCAGGCTACATCAGGACGGTGGCGAAACGCTTCAAGCTGTCAAGGCCTGCACTGTGGCTTGGAGCCACGACCGACACCCTCGGCTCGGCCGTCAGCAAATCAGAAGCCGTGTCACTTTGGGAACATCTGCTGTCCGGGACCTCCCCAAAGTGCTGAAGAGGAGGGATGTCAGCTTACAGAGCGAGGGGCACCTGATCCACGCCATGGGCTTTTAAACTGTTTCCTCTGCATCTGAAAGCTGGATTAGTCAGCTCCACGGTGCCAAGGAAGGGCAACCGTGTGTGTGTGTGTGTGTGTACGATCCATGGGACGTGTGGTTGTTGGGTGCTGTCGAGTACGACTCCCAGTGACTCTGTGAGCAGATCTGAGCCCTGTCCTGTCCTGCGCCATCCACAGTCTCTGACACACTCGAGCTGCTTCTCTGACTTGCAAGCGAAGCCTCACGGCTGGATTTTCTAGGACATAACTCTGGGCATCAGGAGCTAACAGATTGGTTCCCAGGCCCCCTTGAGCTACCTGCCTCGTGCGTTTTAATGAATCTTTAGCTTCCTGGCCCTGTGATGTTCCACGCGCCTCCCTGCTGCCCCTGCCCAGGCCCGGAACTCACACCAGTCCTGACCATAGCGGCTGGGTGCGGAGGACTTCCTCCAAGAGGTCCTCTGTCCCTCGTCCCTCATAGGGGCTGAGGTGCGGAGCGGCTTGAGGAGGACCTCTGGGGGACAGGTGCCAAGTTCTCTCGTGCGATGTGTGCCCAGATGGTGCACACAACGTCAACCTGGTAGGCGGGCAGTTCACGTTCTCCTTTGTGTACCTCAGAAGAAAGGCCTGGCGATTTGTTTTCCCAAAATCAGTGTCAGAACCCATAGAGCACTGTGCTGTCCTGACCCGCCCCACAGGGGGGCCAGTGCTGCCCCAACTCGCACCCACCTCGTGCCCGCCTCCACCGTCTGCCTGGGCTCTCCTGACCCAGACCTGACTTGACTCCACACCCAAGGAGCTATGTGGCCGGGCCCTTGTCCCCTCACCAGGCCCAGGATGTGGATGGACCTTGTTCTGTCCCCACCAGGACCAGGAGGTGCTGGGCCAGACTGGAGACTGACTGATTTTGGGGGTCTATCTGTCCCCACCATCCCCTTAATCCAGCTCCAAGCTCCTTCCTGCTCATTCAGCTCATATCCCCAGAATCCGTTCCTGTGCACCCGTCCTAGCCAATTCCCACCCTGAACGCCCCTCAGCACAGTACCACACTACCTCATCCCAGCTCCATATACCCCTCATTCCATGCATGCCAATCCCAGCGTCCTGCACGAGGCCCTGAGAGTCTCCCAGGCCCAACGGTCCCGGCCACGAACCCCATCACACCAAGCCAGCCACCTGGCATGTAGTAAAAAGACTTTATTAAGAAGGCTTTGAAGTCAAAAAATAAAACTCTTGATACAATTTTCTTCACCTAAAGTCGGCTCAGCAAATATATAATCAGTGATTTAGCTGTAAGATCAAAGGTCCGTTATTTTATTTAAAATAAAATATATTTTAGTTCTTAAAATTTATTCCATAAAGTACATATTTCCCTATAAACCCCCTACATAAACACGAGAGGTAAAAAAATTAAAAAACAAATCTAAAAAACAAACAAAACCAAAAACAGAACACCACACAAAACAAAAATAACTTTAAAAAAATGCTAAAACCTGACAACAGAGATCACAGGGGGATTAAATCATCATCAGAAGGCAGGTGCCAGGGGGCCAGCGGGCAGCCTCGCACCTGAGACTACAAAAAGAACTCAAAGTGGTAAAAAATCGTGTTTGCAGTTTTCATTTTCAAAAAGAGCACCCGGGGCGGGGGTGCCTCAATAAAAAGTGCAAGAGAACCTTTGCCTTCGTTTATTCACCAACACTGGCTACGGCTCTCGGTCAGCACCGGCCTGCGGGTCCGTGTCCACGCCTGGCGTCGGAGTTAAAGCTGGACTGTGAACGCGGGGAGAGCCCGGCCCGGCCCCCCTCCCGCCCCCCGACCCGCGGCGGGCGAGCCGCCCCCCAAGCCCAGCCCTAGGAAAAGATATGAATGGCCTGGGTGGCGGGCGCGTGGCAGGCAGGACACTGGGGCTCGCTCTTGCCGCAGATGCGCAGGGCACAGTCCATGCAGAAGAGGTTGTGGCCGCAGGGCACCAGGACGGCCATGGCCTGGCCCTCGGCGCACACCACGCACTCGCGCGCGGGGACCGGGGCTGCTGGGGCCGCGCCACTTGC